CTGGGGGTGGGGAAACTGAGGCAGGGGATGGGAAAATTCACTTGGAACGGAGAAAAACCAAGACAAGGACAGTGAAAAAATCATTTAAGAATGAGGAAACTAAGGCAGGGACAGGGAAAAAATCATCCAGAAATGGGGAAAATGTGAAAGACAACGTGGAAATAGAGAAACTGAGGCAGAAGCAGAGAAAAATCATGTGGAAACGGGGAAAAGCAAAGCAGGGACAGACAAAAACCACCTGGAAACGGAGAAAACCAAGACAGGAACAGGGAAAAATCATCTAAAAAATGAGGAAACTGAGGCAGGGCCAGGAGAAAATGACCTGAAAATGGGAAAAACCAAAGGAGAGACAGACAAAATACACCTGGAAATGGGGAAAACGCAGGCAGGAATAGGGGAACCCACCAGAACTGAGGAAAAGAGGGGGCATGAACAGGGGAACCCCCCGGAATTGGGGCTCCCGGTACCCCCCAGGCCCTGATCCTCTGTCCCCCCTTCCCCCAGGACTCCCAGGACTCGTCAGATGGGGCCCCCTCGGCGCCCAGGATGACCGGGAGCCTCGTGTCTGACCGCAGCCACGACGACATCGTCACCAGGATGAAAAACATCGAGTGCATCGAGCTGGGCCGGCACCGCCTCAAGCCCTGGTACTTCTCCCCCTACCCCCAGGAGCTGACGGGGCTGCCGGTGCTTTACCTGTGCGAGTTCTGCCTCAAGTACGGCCACAGCCTGCGCTGCCTCCAGAGGCACCTGGTACGAGGTTCCAGGAGGGGGATTTCAGGGAGTTTCGAGAGGATTTTGGGAGGTTTTTGAAGGGATTTGGGGAGCCAGGGTAAAGCTGGACTGAGGAATCCCTGATTCGGGACACCCTCGGGGGATTTGAGGAGATTTTGGAAGGTTTTGGGGGGTTTTGGGGAGACAGGGCGAAGCTGGGCCTGGGAATCCCTGATTTGGGGCATCCTCAGGGGGCTTTTGGTGGTCCCCAGGAAGATTTAGGAATCCTCAACCCTCAATTTTTATCCTC